GTCGGTGGCGGCGGCGGGCGGGCCGGGCGGCGCCTCCTCCTGCTGCTCCTCCTCATCCGCCTCCTGTTGCCGTCGCCGGGCCGCGTGTCGGTGAGCGCGGGGCCGCGGGCGGGAAGGGGCCGCGGGAAGAGGGGGCGGTTGGCGCGCGCGGGAAGGGCGCGCGCGCGCGCCGCGTTTGAACGGGCCGTTAAACCGCCGCGGCCTAGCGCGGCCCGCGGCCCCCGCCTCAGGCCTCCTTCCTCCCGCAGGATGAAGAGCGCGTGGCGTCCCCTTCCTGCACCATGGAGCCCGTCCCGGCGCTGACCTTCCGCGGCCGCAGGAACTCTCGAAAAGACTTTCCCATATGCACTGTATAGCAGGAGCTCTGCTTTGTTCCTTGCCCCCCATCTCCGGCTTATTTAGTTTATTTAATTTTATAACGTTATTTATTATAGCCTCTGCATACCTCATATTTTGTTTACATATCTGAGTGGCAAGTGGATCTGGAAACCACTAAAGGTAGGGCCATGGAGGTGACCGCCGGTGTGCCCAGCACCCTGGGCGAGCTGCTGCTGAGCACCGTGAAGCCCGTGGCCTCGGGAGGCCCCATGACGGCTTTCCTCTGGATGCTGATCTTGGGCTTCGTCATCGCCTTCGTCCTGGCCTTCTCCGTGGGCGCCAACGACGTGGCCAACTCCTTCGGCACGGCGGTGGGCTCGGGCGTCGTGACGCTGCGGCAGGCGTGCGTCCTGGCGAGCGTCTTTGAGACCGTGGGCTCCGTGCTGCTGGGAGCCAAAGTGAGCGAGACCATCCGCAAGGGGCTCATCGACGTGGAGATGTACAACTCGACGGCGGAGCTCCTCATGGCCGGCTCCGTCAGTGCCATGTTTGGTGAGGCGCTGGGGTGCCCGGGGGGTGGGTTTGAGGGTCCGCGTGGTGGCAGCCGCTCTCTTACCGCGGGCTCCTGCTTCTCCTTCAGGATCGGCTGTGTGGCAGCTAGTGGCTTCGTTCTTGAAGCTCCCCATTTCTGGTACCCATTGCATTGTTGGGGCGACAATCGGCTTCTCGCTGGTGGCCAGAGGGCAGAAAGGTGTCAAGTGGTCAGAGCTGCTTAAAATTGGTAAGTCCCACTTTCCGATGGCTTTGGAAGCGGCATAAGCGCCTGAGTGCAACATCCACTGCATCCATCCTGGCCCAGGGCTTCCCCTTGCTGCTGCAGGGTACTAATCACACCTCTTCTCTCCTAGTGTTGTCCTGGTTCATCTCACCCCTCCTTTCTGGCATCATGTCTGCTATCCTGTTCTTCCTTGTCCGTAGGTTCATCCTTTGTAAGGTAAGGACACACTAGCCGTGGGCTGCGTGTTCTGGCGGCTTGGGGCTCCCATGTCCTTGTAGGACCTGTCCAGACTTCTCGTGCCTCCTATCATGCTACTGGCTCTCCTCATCCAGGAGGAGCCAGAGAAGCATAGAGTTTCCCATTAAACAGAGCCTAGGAAATGAGCTTTGACTTCCCTTGAACATCTGGGCTCGTCATCTCCTGCCCGGCCTAAGCAGAAACAGTTGGTGCTTCCAAGTAGCAAAGCAGCTCAGAAGTGATAAGGTGGGAGCTGCTGGCCAGGCTGCACAGAAAGGCAGTTATTGACAGCAAAGGCTTGAAAACAGGAAGGCTGGAATTGTCCCTGGCACTGCGGAAACTGTGTGCTCACCACCAGGAGCAGCACATGTCCCCAAGCTCTGTGGTATCAGTCCTATCCTGATTTCTAAGACTTTTTCAGTCCACGCTTTGCTGTTTTTAAGCCTTCAAATCAAGAAGGCTCCAAGCACCTTTGTGGGTGCTGCTGGATGCCATTTGTGGGAGTGCCAGGGAGTCTTGATCTGCTGTGAATGAGCTGCTTTAGCCTAAATGTAGGGGAGGGAAGTGCTGCTTCCTCTATGCAGAGCAGAGTTCCTGCTGCAGACTGCCCGAGCTCGCTGGATATCCCGTGCTGAAAATACCAGGCAGCAGCAGCTGCCTCCCATACAGCCTCTGCAGCTCCAGATGATTCAAAATCTCTCTGGCTGGGCTCACTTCCCCTGTTTGGAGTGGATGAGGGCCTGGAGATGGAACTGAGCGCCTGAAATACTTGCCGCGGGGGTGGCACCCCTAGATGTTCACGTTCTGAAGTGATGAACCTGGAGCACGCTGCTGCTGCTGGCCAGGGATTTTCAGCCAGCTGCCCAGAGGACTGAACTTTGGCATCTCCGTATAATCAGTTTGTTCTGCACAGTTGGGGTTAATGACTTAATTTATTTGGGGTCTTGGGTCTATTTGTGCTTAAGAGATGTGGAGATCTTATCGTGGTTGCTGCTCCCTGGCAGCCTTTTGGAAGTGCTTTGGCGTCACTGCTGTCGGGAGTAACCTTGCATAACTGGCCCGTGGGAGCTGAGCTGCCACTGGCCGTGTCCCATTGTCAAGTGACTCTGGCACCAAGTCCGCGGCTGCTCCGGTTGCTCCGTCCTGCCGCTCTTTGGGAACGCTCCATGTGTTTGTATCAACACTGGGCCTTGAATGCTGGGCAGCAACTGAGATTAAGGGCTCCTGCTGCTTGGGTGAGGGCCTCTGTGTGCAGTTAGGTGGCTGAATAAGCTGCTCATATGAGTAATGGACTTTCTTAATTAGCCAAAGTCAGCTGGAAGGGGGTAGAAGTGCTGTGACAAATGGTTTCATGTGAAAGTGCCCCGTGTTTCTTAAGCCACACACACACAAAAGCACATCTGAAGGCTTGGCAGTTCTGCAAGTTGAGTTAGTCTTTGGAAAAGCAAATCCTGGGCTTTAGAGGAGCCAGGATTCTGCTGCCTCCTGGTGAAGGAGAGCAGAGGAGTCTGCAGGAGCAGCCTGCTCACGTGCAGGACCTTGGCTCCCTGGTCGCCCAAGGCTTCCCAGGCTCTTCATGTTTTAGTTATTTGGGGTTTTGAGGCACTTGCTTCTTCCCCAGAGGTGCCCAGGCAGCACTGAGATGCTCTCTTGGCCCTGTTCCTGCTTTGGGCAGAGGGGTGATCTGTTTCCTTGCCTCTTTGGAGCGAGCTGGGGAGTCTCCCAGAGCGGCAGCTCTTCTGACCCCTCCGATGGGTTGTTCCCTAGTATAGGGAATGTAGTGGAAAAGCTGTGTGGAGCCTTCTGGGCCTCTCCTAGAGCTGCTGCATGGCCCTGCAAACAACTTGTGGGAAACTGCGGTGTCCAAGGTCGGGATTCTCATGGCTTTGAACGTTGTTTTGCAGGCAGATCCCGTTCCCAATGGCTTGCGAGCGCTGCCCGTCTTCTATGCCTGTACCGTGGGGGTCAACCTCTTCTCCATCATGTATAGCGGGGCACCTTGTAAGTACCTGCCAGAACACCTAAGCCTGAATATAAAAATTCTTTACAAAACCTCCATTAAATGCACGATTTACCCCTTTTTTGCTTTACAGGGCTGAAATCTCCTAGAAGGCGGCTGGCCTGTGCCGGTTACAGAAGGCTGCAGGCTAGCAAGCGCTGAGCTCTAAATCTAGCTAGGTGCCCGCCCAAAGAGGCCTGCTCAAACTAAACCCCCAGACCTTTCTCCTTAGACCTCACAGGACTTGCAGTTAACGTGGCTTCCCCTTCCTTCTCTTAGCTGTGCTAAAACTCAGGCCCCCAGCTGCTCCCAAAGGTTGTTTGGACTTCCTCGTTTTGGGTTTTTCTCCTGGTAGTGAGGCTAGGAGCAGAGCTGGAGCCGGGCACAGGAATTTTGTGGCCTTATGATTCACCTAGTCCCTAAGAATAAACTAATTATCCCTGAGACTTCCTGGCGCGAGGAGCTGGCGTCCTGCAGCTGTACCGAGTTGATGCTTCAGTTGGAAGCGTTTTGGGGACGCCACATTGAAGCGTGTGCTTGGCTGCTGTGGAGAGGGAGCCCGGGCAGGACTAGGGAAGCGCTGTCCCCTTGTCACGGTGGCCTGGCACACGGAGGTGGCTTTGCCCCAGGAGAGCCACGGAGCTGGGCAGCAAGTGGCTGCAGAAAAACTCGAATTTCCATCAGCGAGGGCAGCTCAGCGGGAGTTGTTTTCAGTCTGAGCGGGTTTCCTGTTGTGGAACAGTGAAAGAGGTCATTGGGAGCTGGAGGTGGAGTGACAACAGTCGGTGTTGGCGTTTGGAGGGTTTTCTCTGTAAACAGTGACCGGAAGGCTTTCTGGAGGGATGTCAGCTTTCCTTGGGTCTCCGGCTTGCTCAGATGCGTGATCCAGCCTGGGAGCCTCCCTGAGATGAGGAGAAGGTGGCAGGGGAGCACTGGGATCCTCCATGGGGATATTGAGCAGTGCTGGGGCTCATTTGAGGCACAGCCATGGCTGCTTTACAAGTTTCCACCTCCCTAGATAGATTGATATTTAACTTAAGCCCTAAACTGGAGGTGAAGCTCAGTGCCGCTCACTGTGGGGCTTGTTGCCTTCAGCAGGGCAGGCTTGTTGGCAAGCAAATAGCAGCTTACAGGTTAACTGAGCATGTAAAGCAACTGTGGCGCAGTTGCTGCTGCTGCTGCAGGAGGAGCAATAACTTGTGGCTGCAGCAGAAAATGCAGGGTTTGAGTCACAGCACCGTTTGGCTTCCCTGCAGCAACCTGGATAATGAAAAGCTGCTGCTAAAAGTCACACTGCATGTGAGGATGCTTGTAAGTAGGTCACTTAACACCTTGGCTGCCTCCCCTGGGGAAGAGGCAGTTTGGGCTGAAGTTTCCAGTGACTCACATAGCTGGGAAAAAAATGAAAAATCCTCTTCCCAGAGCAGCTGGAAGAGTTAATGGAGACATCTGGCTCTGCAGTGGGAGCAGCTGAGGTCCTGCGTGTTGCTGTCCCCTGCTTGCTCCCAGCCTGGCGTGCTGGGCAGGAGCACTGTCTGCTGCAGCAGCGTTGCTCATTTTGTCCTTTTTTTCCTTTTTTTTCTTTGACATTGCAGCAAGGCAGGACACGAGGCCGCGCGTGTACCCGGTGCTGCCGACTCGGCTCGGGGCGAGCACTGGCTCCCTGCTAGGGCAGAACCCACAGTACTCACTAATCGGGTTTGGCGCTGGGAGGGAGGGAAAGTGTCTGGACATGTGAAAGAGATTAGCTCGTGATGGGGAGCCTGCAAACTGGTGGGGCTCCTATGTGGGTTAAGCTCTTGGTTTCTGCGTGGTCAGCGGTGGATTTTCCTGGTATTCCCAGCGTTTCTCCCTGCCATGGGGCTGGCGGGTAACGTAGCTCAGGGTGCTGCAGCAGTTGGAGGCTTTGTGCTGGCTTCCTCGAGCTCAAGGGTAAAGTCATGCGTTGAGCGGGGCTGTTGCCCTGGGAGTTTCAAGATCCCTTGTTTTATTTCCTAGTGCTGGGCTTTGACAAACTGCCTCTCTGGGGTATCCTCCTAATTTCGGCGGGGAGTGCTGTTGTCTGTGCTCTCGTCGTCTGGTTCTTTGTATGTCCGAGAATGAAGAGGAAAATCGAACGTAAGTAACTGCTGGGTCTTGGCTGCTCTGGGGAAGGGCAATGCCTTTGCTAACCAACTTCTTTACAGGGAGGGGAGGCAATCTCATTAGCCCCAGGGCTGTTATTAGAAGGGTCACTTAGCTCAAGTTAGCACTTAAGCTGCTCTGCCAGCCCTGAGTCACTAGGTGTTTTCCAGCCAAGCTGCTGGACCCTTGGTGCTTGTAGCAGCAGCAGCACCTGCACGCTGCCGATTTCCACCCCCAAATGTCCCTCCGAGCTGCTGCAGGGCGCCTGGCAGCCGAGTCCTGCCTGTGCAGGGTGATCTCTCCTTGAACTGCGAGAGGCGCTGGGCAATAAATGCTGTTTCATACTGAGCATCCACCCAGCGCAGGGGAGGTAGGAGGTAACATGCCTCTTAACCAGCACGCAGGATTAAAGGTTACATACCTGCTGATCAATCTTTGGCTCGGCAGATGCAGATCACAAGTTTAAAGCTGTGTAATCTTATGAAATCCTTGCCCCGGAGCTGAAATATCTATTGAAAGGCATCCAAAGTAGCAGTCCCCAGCGCTGGCTTCCGCGGAGCTCTCCTGGAGCAGTGTGTGGTCTTGCATATCAATTGGGTGTGCAGGCTGAGGCATTTAAAGCACTGTAGATGAGGGGATAACGAGTGTCCTTGTCAAGCTTGTGTAACTGGGGTGTGACTAACAGCTTTATGGCCACCCTTGAAACTTTTCCAGTTGCTGGAGCTGCAGCTCCAGGCTGCAGGGAGGGCAGGATCAAACCCCGGGCACTGCAGGGCACCGGCTCCGCTAGGAAGCCCTGCAGAGGCTTTAGGCAAGGAGGGGTAGCTGAATCCTGCAGCCTCAAAGGCTTCAGCACTTGAGCCAGAGGGCAAGCGCTCGTGTCACCAAGGCCAAGGTGGTTCTTAGGTGCCGGATGACCTTGTGTTTTTCACCTGATGGCAACAGGCTTCCCGGGAGAGGGGGAGTAACTGCCTTGGTTTCCAGGATCTGAAAATACTGGCTTGGCTCTTGCAGTGGGACAGGAAACCAGACCGCCCCGGTTGGGTTCCTGGGCTCGCCCTGGGTGCTGGGCCGAGCCGAGGATGGGGGGGAGAAGTTGGGATGTTTACCAGGCCCTCCCGTCACCTCCGGGAGTCATAACCACATGAGAGGCAGCTATTTGTGTCCACCAGCTTGTGGCCAAGCACTTCCCAGCGGCAGCCGGCAACGAGGATGTAGCCCCGTGTGCCCGGAGATAACCATAACTCGTGATTGGCACAGGAGGAATCTCTGCCGTAGGAATAACAGGCGGCCCCCCCACGCAGTGCCGCTCGCCACACCCCGCGTGGGGGTGTGGGGCCTAAAAATAGGAGGCGAGCTGGTTTATGGCAGCCTGTTATGGAGCCTGTTGTTGGGACGAGGTGGCACTGCCGAGCGGCGGCGGGCACAAGGGACGGGGAGTTTACAGCTCCCTAATTCTGACCTTGGGCAGTGCAGCTGCCATAGATGTGAGCGGCGAGGGGAGCCGGCCCGGCCCTGCTCGCCCCAACGCCTCGCTCGTGGTGCTGGGAAGGGGGTTAATGGCAGCTGCCTCTTTCCAGGAGAGATTAAATCGAGCCCCTCGGAAAGCCCCCTCATGGAGAAGAGCAGCAGTTTGAAGGAAGATCCTGAGGAGCCCAAAGCGCCCGTGGGCGATGCCAAGAGCCCCGTGGCTGACGTGGTGCTGGCGGCGCCGCCGCGGGCGGCCGTGGAGGAGAGAACGGTCTCCTTCAACCTGGGAGACCTGGAGGAGGCCCCAGAGCACGAGAGGCTCCCCAGCCTTGACCTGAAGGAAACCAACGTTGACAGTGGTGAGTGGAGGCAGCTTGGGGATCGCTTGGTGTCCTCGTTTCCATGCCTATTCCAGCAAAGCCGGGAGCTAAAAGCGCTCTTTTCCCGCAGGAGCCGTGCAGCTGCCCAACGGCAACCTCGTGCAGTTCAACCAGGCCGTGGGCCACCACATCAACTCCAGCGGGCAGTACCAGTACCACACGGTGCACAAGGACTCGGGCCTCTACAAGGAGCTGCTGCACAAGCTGCACCTCGCCAAGATGGGCGACTGCATGGGCGACTCGGGGGACAAGCCGCTGCGGCGCAACAACAGCTACACCTCGTACACCATGGCCATCTGCGGCATGCCCCTGGACTCCTTCCGCGCCAAGGAGGGCGAGCCCAAGGGCGAGGAGACGGAGAAGCTGACGTGGCCCGCGGCCGACACCAAGAAGAGGGTGCGCATGGACAGCTACACCAGCTACTGCAACGCGGTGGCCGACACGCACCCGGCCGCCGACGTGGACCTCAACACGGCCCAGGTGGAGATGGGCATCGGCGACAGGAAGGGCAGCAGCAACTCCCTGGAAGAGTGGCACGACCAGGACAAGCCGGAGGTGTCCCTGCTCTTCCAGTTCCTGCAGATCCTCACCGCCTGTTTTGGCTCTTTTGCTCACGGTGGCAACGATGTCAGGTGGGTCTGGGCGAGCTGGTGTCTGTGCTGACTGGCTCTGTGTCTGTGCGTGCGGTGCCACGTGTGAGCGGGGAGAAAGGAGACCGCTGGCCCTCCAGAACCCCTCTCCTCTCTTGCAGCAACGCCATCGGCCCCCTGGTCGCCCTCTACCTCGTCTACGAGACGGGCAATGTGACTACGAAGCAGGGGACTCCCATCTGGCTGCTGCTCTACGGAGGTGCCGGCATCTGCATCGGCTTGTGGGTCTGGGGGAGGAGAGTCATCCAGACCATGGGGAAGGACCTGACTCCCATCACGCCGTCGAGGTGAGGGTCTCGCTGCCAGAGCCCTGTGGGAACTCCCTGTGCGTTAGAAACAGGCGCTTGCGTTTCTGACGCGCTGGAGCTCAAGTTGGGAACAGTTCCAGTGTGTTGGAAACCCAAGTTGGAAACTCGGGTTGGAAGTGGTTGTCTGGAGGAGCCGGGGCAAGCAGACACCGGGCACCTTGGGACCTGTCCCAGCTTGCGGAGCCCCCTCTCTCCTCGTGCCCCTCTGTGTGACCGTCCTCGTCCCCTCCTTCCTCTCCCCACAGTGGCTTCAGCATCGAGCTGGCGTCAGCGCTCACCGTGGTGATCGCCTCCAACGTGGGCCTCCCCATCAGCACCACGCACTGCAAGGTGAGCGGTGGTGGCGGCGCCGCGCGGGCCCTGCCTCGTGCCCGGCAGCACCGGGGCTCCCCGGAGCGCAGCGGGGACCGCGCTGGCCTCGCCTCTCCGTGCAGGGGCTGGGAGGAGAGAATCCCTTGGGAAGGTGGTGGGAGGCCAAGCCGGCCGAGGGAGCCCCTGGGGGCTGGGGGGAGCTCTGCTCTTCCTGGGGGGCTGCTGGAACCCCCCTGTGTCACGTGGGGGGCTCCCCCCTTGGGACGGGTGCCGTGGGCAGCGCCGCAGGCTCGCGCCGCCTCTCCCGCAGGTGGGCTCCGTGGTGTCCGTGGGCTGGCTGCGCTCCCGCAAGGCCGTCGACTGGCGCCTCTTCCGCAACATCTTCGTGGCCTGGTTCGTCACCGTGCCCATCTCGGGCCTCATCAGCGCCGCCATCATGGCCCTCTTCATGTTCGCCGTGCGGGGCGCCTGAGGGGCCGTGGCCCCCCGGCCCCGCTCCCCGCAGCCTCCCCACTGCTCTAGCCTTCTCTCTCGGCCTCTCCCCCTCCTATCTAGTGCCCTCACTGAATTATCTTGGGTTTTTTTTTTTTTTTTAATAATAATAAGGGAGACTGTGTTGCCCGCCCAGCCCCGGTGGGCACCGTGAGGAGCCGGCGCTCGGCCCACCCTGGGGTGCCCCCGGGTGCTGCGTAGCTGTAGAGTAGCGTGTGGGGGGGAGGCCGCTTGTTGTTTTCTAATTTGAACTCCTCCTAACGCCTCGATGACGATGCTCCCGCCGCGGCTCCTCCTCGCGCGCAGCCTGGCGCCGGGTCCCGCGGCCCGGCGGCACGGGACCCCCGCTCGGCCCGGCGCCTCTCCCGGCTTCAGCTTTGGCCTCCATCGCCGTCGCGCGGAGCCGCCTCGCCCCCATCCTGCTCCCGGGGTGGCATTGTTGGGGTGGGGGGGCCGGGGTCCCCCCCTGTCCCCGGCGTCGCTCGCTGCTGCTACCTCGGTAATAACAATAAACGTTTCCTTGTTGGGGCGGCGGTGCTGGCTCTGCTGGGGCCCCCACGGCTGCGCGCCCCGATAGGCACCGATAAGGGGCACGTGTCCTGCAGCCACGTGCCTTATCAGCGCGGCACACTGTCACCGCCGTCACCACGGGCTGGCTCACGCCCATGGGGGTGCGGAGCCCTGCTCGTGTCCCCCCCGGCCCGGCCCGGCTGCTGTCCCCAAGTGCTGGGGCTGCCCCAGCGCGGCCGTCCCTGCCCCCCTGCCTGGGGAGGGGGCCTCAAGGCCAGGCCCTGGGCACCACGGCGGGGGCAGGGGGTGATGCAAGAGCGCCTGGCGCTGTGCCCCATGGGGGACAGGGCACAGGGGGCTGTGTCACCCCCGTCCCTGCCCCGGGAGGTGCCAGCGCCTTCCCCGTGGGGCTGGGGCCTGTCCCCTGCCTGGGGGGCTGTGTTGGGGGGAGCCTGGGGACACTGGCCACGGGATGAGCCACGTGGGGATGCGCCCCCCC